GTTGACTAGAAAATGCTCCACCAAAGGAATGTGGATAAACTCACATCAGTATCTACTGGATCAAACCCATACGCCGTACTGGAAGTCAGGTCGACGCTGCTCTGGGTCCTTTGAACTCTAGGTGTTCTCTGTCGGTATTTTTTTGCTGGCTGAAAGTCTATTATTAATAATAACAAGTTATATGGAAGGTGAGAACTAGTAAAACTAAATTCTGTTGCTACGATCTGGTAGTCGCCCGCACTCAATGCATCAGACGAACATTACTCTAGTAATATGGACTCTAGCAAATGATGAAATGCACTCTTATTTCGATGGTAATTCCAAGCTTAACATTAAATTCCCCTTCGATGGCAGTTCCAAGCTAAAGACTAGAGTCCCCTTAAATGGCAGGTCCATGCTAAACGTTAAAGTCCACACCGACTCTTGAAAAATCCTCAAAATACCGTACTTTGATCCATCTCTTAGTAATACGCCGTGCATTCGAATCCCTTCGTTACATCGTAGAGGTGGCTGAATTCATATTTGGACCATTCAATGACGTACGGAGGTCTAGCTATCTATTAAGTCAGTGCTTTTACCTTCCTACACAAGATGTTAACAATTTGTTGACCACGGAAGAAAAAGATGCATGGCTAGTCCAGAGCGCAATGTCGAACCAAGGAGTATACGTGTATCCCTCAGGATATCCATTACCACTATCACATCCTCAACTTGTTATAATAACAGTAATTGTAAACTATTGCAAATTCCGCTCGATCGCACCAGCGTGTGTTGCATTACACTGTAAGAGCCAGTAAGGAAAGTGCAGACATCGTTGTTCTCGGCTTCACCAGTTCCACTTCCACGATAGGCAATCACGCCAAGAGCACAGACCAGCACCAGCTGAACTACCAGCAAGCTAAACAAGTGATATTGATGTTATTCCTACGTGACGACTTAACAACTTGGAAACAAGTTGACCTGTCTTCGGGACCAATAAGTGCTTCACAGATTACTCCTGTGCCGTAGTAGATCCAGAGCATTGCAACGGTGGCCTAAAACAGTTAAGGGGCTGAAGATGAAACCCTCACTGACTGTAGTATAATGTGGACTCACAACGCTGATCGAGCTATCATCGTTGTTTGTAACAAGTATTCTCAAGGTGAGTAAAACCGCCGGCACGACCGTGATTGCGTTAAGGAAAGACTGGAAGGAAGAACTGGAAGGTGACCCATATAGAGGACAAGTAACTTATGAGAAAAAACTGTGCGTTCTAACTTTACTATAAGCTGATTGCAAATTGAAAACGACAAATCCACACATAATGGTCAAGAACAGGATTTCACGTATGGAGAGAGTGGCATCACGGCTGCCTTGAACTTAAATAAATAAATAACTATAAAACAATTGTGGAGCAGAAGGGCAAAAATTAAGAAAAGCCGAACGATAGAAATCTTTTCCACGTGTAGGAAGCTGTGGACTGTACATGTGCTCTTGAAGCGGCTAACACGAGTAAATGCACTTTACTAGAACGAACCGGCTTTTATATATTGGAGCAACTGTGATTGCGATAACAAAAAAATCGATGGATATGGCACTTTTCCCCTCATCATTGTATCTTATTAGGCGAGAACAACCGGTAAGTTACAACTAGTGCTTCCCTGGATGATAGGCAGGGAGGTTCAGCGTATAACACATAGAACAGCGGGACCTAATTTGTGGATTACATTGGTAACTAGTGGCGCAGTGGTCGGAGACGCCGTGCAATACACCTGGATCCCTGCCTCCAAGGCTCACCAAGCCTCTTATCACTCTGGGATCAGCAAATTGGTACCAGACTTGTCTGAGAGGAGAGCAGCACTGACTCGATACATCGATAGGCCACCGCGAGTCATTGTAAAGGCCAGCTATGCATTCACTCACCTCTAAACGATGCTTAGTGAAGTCGAATGCAAGGAGCCTCCATCAGGAATTGATCAACGCCGAAAGCTTTATCCCTTTTAACCTTAAATGCTGCTTTAAATAGCACGAAGATAGTTACGACTCCTTAAAGGGCTTTTGCGGTGATTGCCGAGGGGTGGTCGGACGTATGTGCTTTCGACATCCTATTCGCCTATGGCATGGCTCTAATGAAAAACACCAAACTCACTTTCTTCTTGCTTCATGAGCGTTCACATTTTGAGGCGAATGTTAATTTGTTAAAGGGAGCGGGGTCTCGGGTTAAGCACGTAGGTGGGTATTCTTCTCCCTTTTCGTTGTATTTTTGATGCCCTTGTAAGCTCGTTGTGGCATTTGCTTCCACTTACTCAGTACTCGAGCTAAAAACATATGATTTTTTCGACCCATATGAGCAGAACTGAAATATTCTAGTAATTACGTTCCATTTACCTTTCCGAGAAAGCAGCTAGAAGTTTCTGCCACAATGTCGATGTCCTCTCTTCACTTCAATAATGAGTTCTCTATAAAATAGCGAGATTTTTGTTGTAAATTTGAAGCCTAGCTCATAAAAAATCCTTGTTTCTTAAATATCCTGATTGCCTTGGACTTCCGTTGCGATTCGGTCTGAAGGAAGGATGGTGAGAAGTAGGGCGGGAAGAGTTTCGTTAATTTGGTAGAAAGAAGACATAGTAACATCCTGTACTCGCTCTTCTGGTCGCCATCGAAATAACTGATGCACATAACTTTGTTTCTCCAATGCACAGTTTGATGAAAAAGCAATGGCGATTCCATCACGGTGAAACTTGCAAATGTATTTATCAGTCATGCCTTGCTTAGATTTCTTCTTTTTGACGTCTCGTAGCCTACTTTGTGTTAGAAACTCTCCATCTAAAACTTTTTTGAGACTTAGCTCACGGTAATTTTAGGCTGCTCTAAACTGTGAGTCATCAGAATAAAATACCCATGCTATATAGGCTGAAATTTAGACTTAAAGTGAAGTGAAGCTAGTAAGCCGAAATGTTTGAAACGATGGATCAGGGATGTGCTTGTGAATTCCGCGGTTAGTACAAATGCTTCTAAGCGAAGGCATGAGTATTCGTAATTTAGGAAGTTGTAGTTACACATCGGCAATTGATGGACATCATCTCAAGCTCATAGACGAAGCTGGGCCTCCAAAAATAGTTTGAGCACTTTGGGTGGCATTGCTATATTCAATGAAAAGTAGATCCTAAGAGATATTAATCGACTTTGCACAGAGAGGTTTGAATGAAATAAAGACCTGCAAAGGTTAAATTGAGGTGCGATCTACCCAGCCAAACACTTTCATAACCCCGGCAGATAAAGCTTAACAAATAAATTTGTATTCGCATAAGAAACAGCTTCATTTAAACACCTACCGTTTATTTGTTGTAAGTATTTAAGTTAGTTGATGGATAGCAGCCGCACAGAGTAATACATGAGCGAGGACTGTGCCTGTGTCAGGTCATTGGATTAGCCTGAGGTGTGGCGCCAGGTCACGCGTGATGACAAGACACTCCTCCTCGTGGTTCATTTTTGAATTTCTCGAATTGATCCAAAACGCTTCAAGACTTTTACGCGCTGATGCCTTGGATTCCTGTGGGAGTATAGTGACTCCTACTTCAAAATCTTCTCCGTTGTGTTCCTGCATCCTATGCGCGCCTAGTGGAGTGTTTGGTTTTAATTTAGATTTACCGACTAGGTGTTCTTTTATGCGGACTCAGAGCGGTCTGCCCGTTTCGTCAACGTATTCTCCCCGCACGTTTTACAAGAGATCAGATAGACTGTACCCGAACTCATGCAATCACTACTGTAGACACATAGATGATTGTTTTGTCATCTGCTCCACACAAGAAGAGATGGACAAATGCTTTGAATTATTGAACGAACAGTCGGAGTACATAAAATTCACCCGTGACAAACCGAAAGAAAACTGGCTTCCATTTCTAAACGTTCAAATTAACCTATCCGAAAACGGCTTGATCACAAAATGGTATCGACAGCCAAACAGTAAGCATATATGAATCGTTCATTACCTGTCCTCTCGCTCCTCACACAGCAAAAGTGCGCTTATAAGAAATATGTTTCGAACCGCCATCAGCGTGTGCACAGGTAGAGAGCAGAGGGAAGAATCCTCAAAACTGGCGCGCCAAATAGCCATTTCAAATGGTTACGAAACTGTAGCTTCTCGGCGTAGGCATTGAGGAAATCCTACGCCCCAGAGCGATAATTCTAGCGAAAACAAGGCTCCATTCTTCTTGCCCCTTATTTCAAACGAAATAAGTGCAGCAATAAGACGTTGCTTAATAAGGGCCGGTCTAGAGAATTCTGCAACAGTGATAGAAATACCATCCGATACTCTAAGACGCCAGCTAGTTCGCCACCGCCTACATGACAGTCTGTGTACAACGAGAAACTGCATAATTTGCCTTAACGGTAGAGACAGTGATTGCATGAGTTCGGATACAGTCTATCTGAGGCTGTGGTTATAATCACAATTTTAACCGTAGACACCTGCAATCCGGAGTTTTGCAACTATCTCAGCATCATTAGAGTTATATTTCGCAATATACCCTGCCATTAAAAGAGTACACAGTAAATAATAACTTAAAATTGTGATTATAACTACAGCCTCAGCTTAACTGGGTTCGTTGCCGATGTGGGCTTACCAGATCAATCCCGCTGACGGGTAATTGCTGAAGGTCGATAGAACTAGCTGAGAGACAGGGGAAACGAAGGACTTGCATGATGTGGTGGTGAACGCGTTACCCCCCGGAAAGAACAATAGCGCGATCGTTCCCCACCGCAAACACCTGCGGCTAAACTTCGCTGAAAAACCTCCTGTCGATGTTGACTTCTTGGAGTTCTTTCCACATTCAAATCCTTTACTTGCTAAAAACGGATATGTTTAGGGGTGATCTGACGTCACCGGCAACAAGGAACTTCATGGCAGTCATATCAGTGACACAGCAGTTAGCTATTCACAGTATGTAGGTAAAGCATGAAGAACAAATAGACAAATAGCACATCTAAACGAGAACGATTTTTACAACAAACATGATATGTCAGACTCTGAGTGAAGCACTGATGCTATTCGTTGAATCGCATTGCCCAAGTCCGGTGGCAGGCCGCCAGCCGTTTTTAGTGCAGACCACCGTCGCCTGTCCGGTCACGGCGAACGATTCCAAGCAGTACAGAAGAGCAGTGGTGCCGATTTCGATCTTGTCTTGCCGTCTCGGTTGAATATACGTAATCTACAAAAAAACGCTACTGATTATCTCTCCTTCATTTAGGAGCTTCGACACAATTTTCGTTGGAAAAACGCACTCGGCCGTTGGTGGGAGCCGACAAGGGCAGACACACTCCAGTGAAGGGCAACACACTTTGCTTGTCATTTGTGCATTGTCCAAGAACTGGTCGGAACATGCCTTGAGAGCATATAGAAAATGAGGGACCGGTTATCGATCTACCAAAGCTGCACCGGAGCGTCGCCGTTGTCCCTGATACGAAACCGCTGGGGCTAGAAGTGTTGGAGAAAGTGATCTGTAATGAATTACCTCGTTACTAGTAATTTCAGTAGCGCATCTGAAGCTTACGGTTCTATGCTTTTTTTCTAATGCTTTTTATACGTTTAATAGAAACCAAATAACTTCTTGTAGACCACAGGCATAAAAGGCAAAGGTTAACATGTTCGGCGTTGATCAACCTTTTAGGGATTGCATCATTCATTCATATTAAGCGTCGTGGAGGTAGCTGAATGCAAATACTAGCGATGATTCAAGTCTGTTTTTTTGTCTTCTCAAATAAGTCTGGCAGAAATTTGATGAACCCGGAAGGATTAAGCGAATGAATATTTGTGCATTACATGGCGCATCTAGCCACTGCTCTATTCGTGTCCCGTCGTATGAAGTAGTGGCGATGTGGAAGTGGGACAGATTTTATTTACTACGCTTATCTGGATCAAAAGTCTTAAACGAAGAGTGTGGTAAATATCAATGGAATATTGATACCTCTCCGAAAGCTGGTGCTGCTGGCGCTTCACAAAATAACCCCTGGTTTTCTGGTCCAACAACATCGTTGAAAGTACGACGTTGTAACCAACTCGGCTTGCAGCCACCGAGACCTTAACTATTCGATTAGAGTTGCAAATATGGAAGCACTCATATTACCTTTGCCTTTTTAACAAATAGGTCGATGCGTGCCGCGTTGAAAAACTTGGCTTGGAAAAATTTTCTTCAAATAATGTTAACTTCTTCATTTACTGCTTATTACAATTCTTCAATGTAGGGTATTATGTGTGGCTCAACTAGAACGATGTTGAGATGTTTGCAAAGCTCCAGACCGCAGGTGTATGCGGTGGGGAACGAACGCGCTATTGTCCTTTCCGGGGAGTAGTGCGTTCACCATCACACCATGTGGGTCCTTCGTTTCGCCTGTCTCTCCACTAGTTCTATCGATCAGTGCCATCAGCAGTCACCCGTCTTTCTCTCTAGACCAGGTGGCAATTAACCTAGGTTTACCATCGCCGTTATTCTTCTTCTTACAACAATGTTCGGACTTGTATGCGGCTATTTAAGTAGGCTGGGATGCACAGAATGCACTCATCATCAGCTGGGTTGGCATGGTACATAATACCAACAACAAGGCTTAGCATAGTAGAAGGTTTGCGAAATCAAGTGCATAGTGCGCCTCATGACTGAACTGCCAAAGTTATTGCTAACAGACAGCCAAGTACTTTAGGAAGAATACTGTCACAACGAAGCCGACCATAGTCAGTTCTCGCACTATTACTCGATTTCAAGTTTTTCCAGACGTTTATCTTAAACATCTTACGCTAGCTGCTCGTATTTTCTTGAGTTGGTTGAAAAATACCCTTCCTCCCTAGGTTTCACAAGAATGCCATTCCTGTCAGAGCTCGAGAGCGAATACCGGTTGCATTGCTTTTGCTTGTGACACTTGTCTCAATGAAACCTGACGGTAAACTTGCCTGGAGACCATTTGCCTCCTAGGCAAACCATCGTGTTGAATCCGGAAAGTGTGTAACCAGGCGCGCAGTTCAACGTAGCAGTTGTTCCTTGGGGGTAAGGAGGAAGCCTTGGATTGCTGTACGTTACCTGTAAACCATAAAGAATTGTAATCTTTAGAAATGTCCCCACCTCTCAGATCTGTTATCAACGAGCCACTCTTTACAAGGAATACGAATTTTCGACTTTATAGCCATACAATAAGGCACACATCAGATTTGAGTGAATAGAAGAAAAACTGACACGCGCTAAACAAGCGACTAGAGCTAAACCTTCTCACCGTACCACCGATGATGAATGGCAAGGCATCACAAGCAAGCGGAGAAGTGCTGGTGAATACGCACTGACCCAGCGTCTCCGGAAGCCATCGGCCATTCCCCATGCACGTGCTCATAATCGCTCCTGAGGAATCGGAATTGTACGGCAGTTCATAATTTTCCACGTTATAAATTATAGATTAACATTCACATTAAAATGCATAAATTATAGAAAATCGAAAAGAAGCACACAAACACCCACGCACCCCTACATTCACACACTCACACACACACCCACGCCACGCTACAAACACACCACAAATACATACGTACATACATGCACACACCCGTACATAAATACAAACAAATGCAAACATCTTAACTGGGGTCAAATACCAAGTCATTCAGTAGCAGGAAAGGATAAAGGATAAGGCTCTTAGCGCTGATCAATCCCTTAGGAACACCCCATGCATTGAACTTCACTAACCATCGTTTAGAGGTGATTGAATGCACATCTGGCCTTGAAAATGTCTCGCGGTGGCATACCGATGTATCGAGCTAGCGCTGCTACCCTCCAAGACGAGTTTGGTACCAATTTGCCAAGTAAGAGTACAGAACCAAGAGGGATTTTTGATAGGTTAGCGTATCGAGCGAGTTCTCAATCACTGCGCTACGTTCTTCGTCAAGGGCCAGAAGTTGGCTTCGCGCACGTGCCATCCCAAAACTTCAATAAAACGCACTTCTGTGGCATTGAAAACGAAAACGAAGAGCAACCATGTCATAAGAAAAGAAACAAGAAAATTCCTAACATCACCACAGTTTACACCAACGCTGCTAGCTTATGACATAGAAGGAATAGAAATTACCCACTATTGCTTGAAGGGGTGGATCTAGCGTAGTGGTTAGAGGCGCCGTGCAATACACATGGGATCGATCTAGGGTCCCAAGCCCACCTTACCTTCCATCTATTCGGGGTAGGCAAAATGGTACCAGGCCTATCTGGGAGGATAGCAGCACTGACTCGACACATCGGTAGGCCACCGCGAGTCGTTTTATAGGCCAGATATGCATTCAGTCAATCCCAACGATTAATGATGCTTGATGAAGTTGAACTCATGGCTGATCCGTCAGAGACTGATCAACTCCGAGAGCTTCATCCTTTAGCCTTCCACTGCTTGAATGATATCGCTTATTTCCACATATATCACCAACATTCTTCCCACACGCGTTATGCCAATACGGGGCTATCTAAACAACTTTCAGCACGGTTCCTATCATCAAATCTCCACTCCAAAAGAACGAAAAGAACGTTCCACGTGAAAGATAACAAGAAGAAGACATTTGTTTTAAACAACCAATCTTCTGCTCAATAGCATGTGACCCGCATTTTTGCACTTTACTGATAAAATTGAAATGCTTTACATCCCGACTCCATATAGAATTCCTATTGTTCTTTTAACATCTGAGTGCAACAATTAGGCAAAAATACAACGAAATAGCAAGATCTTAAGTGAAACCTGATGCCAGGTATCCATTATTGCAAAACAACGTCGCTGTAGAACCCTGCTGCCATGGCCCTAACTGCTTGTCCTGAACAAAATGTTCCATCTTTTAAACAACTGCAGAAAAAAATTACTACTTGCTGAAGAACCTCGCATGGCATGAGCAATCGCTCTGACAGGGATCAAGTTTCGATTTTTCTGTACGTTGAAATAAATGGATTGAATGTTTGAAGCACTGTATTAAAAACGTCAAAAGCATGTGCGAAAGTCACTGTATATGGAAGTAGCACGTTCTAAACATGTAATGCCCGAAATTGGTTCTTTGAAAACTGACGATTATCTCTCGAGTATTTGAGGAGTTGCCTACTGTGCAGATTCATCCCTGAGACATTATTCTATCGGCTTAAGCGCACCTACAATCCCTTTAAAATGTCCTTTCAGCTTCAACATGTTTTAGAAGAACCTCGAACTAAGTGGGAAAGCTGGGCAGCGGCAGACACAGAAACAAGAAGCAAAACATTGCGGAGCACTCAATTGTTTTCGTGTTCGAAATATAAGCCTTGAAGCAACAAAGTGGAGGAAATATATACTATCGGCTGAAGAAAACCAGAATTGCACTCTGGCGAATAAAATAACATACACTTCTTAGACACAGGTCTGTAGATTCAAACAGTTTTTATCCCAACTATTTCAAATGTATGAGGCCCTTTTAGTGCAGCCGTTGGCACGTTAGTCAATACCAGCACGGCTCCGGTTCTACTACGCACCAACTCCAACAAGTTTCCAATCCGTTCGGGGTCTGTGAAGTGGTGCCAGAGTTTCTTGGGATCAACTCGCTTCTTTTATCCACAGAAGATGAGGCCCGCCTGTGAAGTTCTGGGAACGTCCTACTGTGGCTATCCAAGGATTCGAGGGAGATCGCTCAACACTCAACGGCATTCACAACGGAGACGAAAAAATCCCTAAGCTGCAGCCGAACCCTCACGCAAATCCGGATGCTTTCGTGGATGGCAGATGCAAGGAGACGAGTTGAATGTAGGAAGTGGTGGAAGGCGGGAAACATTCGATGTCGGATTGTGCAAAATAAGTAAAAATTGAGGTGCAATCTGAGCTGAGATACGTTGGTTTAAAGTTGAAAGCAGTCGTTGTTCTTGCAAAAAATGGATTAAATTAAAAGCAAGGACAAGAAAAAGACCAAATTCATGTAGATAATAAACGTACATTGCTGTAACTGATGACACCGTTAACGACGAACGGAACGCCAGTCAGGCACTGCTTCGTTGTGTCCCCTAAAACACCTTGCGTCAGCAACGTCATGTTGAATGCATCGAGATTTCGTGCAATGAACGAAACGCGTGACAGGAATCGGAAAGCTGGCAGGGATTTTTAGAGAATCGAGCGACACCATCCAAATGTCTTTTGCCATTGATTTTGTTTTAGGTCAGATTCGCATAAATAGCTTATATTCGACTATGTAGGAGACTTGGAGCAACATATAAGCACACAACCACGTTCGGTGGAACTGACCTGGATTTATCACTGATATACATTGGCCTAGCTCCGATGGAGACCAAAACATTCCTTGGCAGACAGCTGTTGTGGCGCTGGAAGCTTGGTAACCAAGATTGCATACAAGTGTTACTGTCGTGCCCTGAAAGAGCTCACAAAACCGCTCGTTCGACACCAAATGCCCTTACATTCCTGTCTTATTAATAAAAATCTTCGCACGACCTTAGCTATTTATTTAGTGAATTTTGTAACTTTTACAACAAAATCCACTTTGTTTCAGTCCAATTAAGGGAATGCTGCTTGATTGTACCCTATATCTCTTTCGTTTTTAGTTTAATATTGAACTCCCTAATGTTTTTCCAGAGCTTCATACGATCTTTGTTACAAATCCGCTGTGCCTTTTGTGAGCAGGCAGGCCGCAATGGTTAGAAGTGCCCCGCTATAGACGCATGATCCTTGGTTTGATCATGTGTCTTAAACAAGGGAAGCTCTCTATCTCTTTGGGGTTGGAAAATTGGTAGGACATTTGTCTTAGAAATAGAAACACTAAATGATACATCGGTATGCCATAGGAAGTTATTTTCTAGATCAAGTATAAATCCACTCGTCCCAACAATGCTATGAATGGAAGAAGGAATCGAAAACAGGGCTCGTGCGTAAGAGACTAATCAACGCTGAACGTTTTATCTTTTACTTTTCATCTAAGCTTTGCTGTCGTGATAACTTTGCTATTGTGAACAATTTGTGTTATTTACATATTCTTGTGAGGCTCAAGCACAGTGCTTACCGATCTATAATAGCCGTCATCTCCCGAAGATGAATAAAAGACAACGCCGTTCTGAGGTGACGACATCCTTCCGCATCGTAATCTACCGCCACCACCTGAATCAATTCGTATACTGACGATGATGTATAGCGTATTTAACTCCGGGAAAGCTCCCTTTGCAGTTTCATGGTTTGGATGCTGTCGTGATGTCCTGAAAAGTTGGAACGGTCGACTGCGGTGTCGAGTTCTTGAGTTGGGTTCGCTTTTAACCTTTCAAGAACCCTATTCTCACTCCTGTTAGCAAAATAACAGATATTTTTTCCCCACACAACCTATTTGCGATCCTATAATATTTCCATATCTTATGTATAATTCAGTAACATATAGTTCTTGATCCTTATTCAACTTCTCGACGTTTGTTCATTGTCCTTTGTATTATCGCTAAGGTCTAAAGCAGCGGACTCATATAATTATTAAAATCGGGCGTAATAGAAGCAGAAGACCTTACAAATCACTAAGTACACTTCCTGTGCTTTCTATTGTACTAGAGTCACTTTCAAACACGACGTATGGGATCGATCTTTGGTCAAATGCGTTATGCACAGCTCAGAATACAAATGCTTGTCCAGTTGAGACATATTGACTTGTGTGTATTCTCAAATCTTGCACTTTTAAATGGTTTTTCGCCTACTTTGCTTCACAATGTAGCAAAGCTCTACACTTATGGTCTTCGATTAATTTTATAGCTTAAAACATCTTCTTTCCTTACCTTAAGCCACGCTAGCTGGAAAAAATGGATCATTGGGAGCAAATGAGAGTAAACTTCTTAACTTCAATGATATTGGGATATTTGCAAAACCCCAGACCGCAAGTGTCTACGGTGGGGAATAAACGCGCTACTACCCTTTCCAAGGGTTAACGCGTTCACCACCACACCATGCGGCCCTTTCGTTTCTCCTGTCTCTCATCTATTTCTATCCATCAGCGCCATCAGCAATCACCTGTCAGCGGAATTGATCTGGGGAGCGCAAACCGGCAATGAACCCAGTTAAGCTCAAGCTGTAGTTATATTCACAATTTTAACTTATTATTTACTGTTTTATTTTGGAGTTTTGCAAATATCTAAGCATCGTTGAAGTTATATTTCGCAATATATCCTGCCATTAAAAAGAGTAGGGAGTAAATAATAAGTTAAAACTGTGATTATAACTACAGCCTTAGCTTAACTGGGTTCAATGGCGGTGTGGGCTCCACAGATCAATCCCGTTGACGGGGAATTGTTGATGGCACTGATCGATAGGAATAGCTGAGACACGAGCGAAACGAAGGAGACTCGTGGAGTGGTGGTGAACGCATTAGTCCCCGAAAAGGGTAACAGAGCGTTCGTTCCCCACCGCAAACACCTGCGCTCCGGAGTTTTGTAAATATCTCAGCATCATTGAAGTTATACTTCGCAATATACCCTGTCGTTAAAAAGAGTAAGCAGTAAATAATAAGTTAAAATTGTGATTTTAACAAAAGGAGAGCAGTGGTGTCTAGTTCTACCTTCATGGGTATATTTTCATGAGTTTTATGAGCGCATACATACTACTTTCTGCATGGTTGACTATGTGACAGTGATTGCACTGCCCAAGTGGGATACTAGGTGGTACCCGTCCAAATGCACCACGAAACTGTCCGTTTATTCCGCCAGTAAAGTCAGGCAAGACAAGAAATTAGTATTCTTACCCGAAAAGCTCAAACTAAAACAAACCACTGCCACCAAAGTAACCAGGACGATAATGTTCACTCTCATCCATTGGCTCGTCATTAAATATTAAGAGATGTGTCATACATCTGTTGTGAAGTGTATGAAAGTATTCCTTAGTTTACGAAGTTCAATATATCAGTGGGTGAGGAACAACATGCCGAATAGAAAGTGCCGTTGGCAAGTGTTGTATTGGCAGAATGCGATTAAAAAGATCCACTTGTGCATTACGTTGTCCTGGCCTGGCGTGCGGCGCAGTGGTCGGAGGCGCACTGTACGCACACGTGGAATCGATCGCCACGCACATGGCCCACCAAGCCTTCCACCCCTCTGGGGTAGGCAAATTAGTACCAGACTTGTCTGTGAGGATAGCAGCACTGGCTCGACAAATCGATAGGTCACGGCGAGTTATTGTAAAGGCCAGATATGCATTCAATCACCTCCAACGATGCTTAATGAAGTCGGATGTATGGCGCATCCCTCAGGGATTGATCACAGCTGAGAGCTTTAGAGCTTTAAGTTTGGCGTCCTATGAGTGGCACGAAGTTCGTGTTTTTTCATTTTAGAAGCTCAAAAACTTCAAGGGAATGACGTTTTTTCTTAACAAGAACGATAAAAACGGAACTCTTTTTCAGTTGCCATGACTGACCTTCTGTTAACCTCGGCACTGATTGGTATGTTTTTCTTCAATAAGCAGACACGAGGTTGTTATTACAGGATTTATTAGGATACAACAGCTGACGTTTCGGCTGTTTCGCCTTCCTCAGAGCCGTTTATTTGTTGTAAGTATTTAAGTTAGTTGATGGATAGCAGCAGCACAGAGCAATACATGGGCGATAACTTTCTGAAGGGGAACCTCGTGTCTGCTTATTGAAGAAAAACATCTTTTTTAGTTGTTATACAGCCAGTTTTGACCAAAATCGGTTGTAAAAGGTGACATTACTGCTTTTGAACAATGAAACTCTGAAATTAATGTAAAAAAAAAAATAAAACAAATCTCGGGCAAACAGGCAAAACCTGGTTGGAACGTGCACTGGGTTGAATGAAAACTAACAATAAACACAGCTAACTGAGAGAACGAATCACAGAGCGTTACATGTGCCGATGGTAGTGAAGGAGCCATTGACGCATACAGATGTCGCTGCTCCGGACACCATGTAGCCGACTTTACACGTCAGTGTTGCGATAGTACCGGGCGGATACGGCAGCTTTGAGCTCGTGTAACTGATGGAGCCGTTCAGCGGTTCGAGCAATCCGAGATAGCACGGGAACTCCGTTCCTGGAAGGGGAACCACGAAAGGTACATGAGTGTCAAGACAAGGACTCATGCAACAGATCGAGCATGCACCCGCACAAGAATTCACAAGAAATTCATGGACTTTGTCTGATAAGTACCAATGAATTTTGCTTAAACGTTCATATGAACATACACATTATGCACTTAACACTTGGAGTCCGACGTCAGTAGATTTTCGCTCATACAAAGAGGTCTTTTTCACAACAGGCTAGGGTTTAAAGCGTACTAGAAGCATGCGAAAATAACACGAAAAACTAAGAGGATGCGTAGAAGACATAAAACCTAGAATTACTAGCAAAATACAAATAAGTCAAATATGTACCAAAAAGCGCAAGAAATAGTACGCTCCAGTGACGTATTTCGGACGTCGTATGGTAGTAGACTTTTTAACAAGCTGAAACTTTTTTGTGGCATTGCGAAGCTGATGTCGTAAAATGATTCTAGTTCTTTAGAACGGAAGATTTTAGGCAAAGAGCTTCATACTCAAAAATTCTGGACAATTATTCGGAAAATGTTTGAAAGCGACTATTAAAGCACCAATCAGTACCTGAAGATGAACACGTTCCTAGCGGTGACCATACCCCGTTATTGCATATCGATGTTGTGGAGCCGACCACAGTCTGAGCGAGTAGGCACACCATTGTGGCTACTGTTCCTGAACATTTTCTTAATATCTTCCGGAAAAATTCCAATATTAGAGAAGAACCTACCTGAATTCCATGGGCCAAACATGTTACCGGAGGAATAGGTGACAGTAGCTCCAATTGGTAGAGCAGGAGGGAGGGTACACTGAATACCGCCGGAGTTAGGACAGCTTCCAAGCAGCGGAGCCCACTGCCCGTTCTGGCAAGTGGATGACGAAGCACCTAAGGAATATTTCTTTAATTGCTAAACTATAGCTTTTTCTCAATCGTCGACAATATTAACAGCTCCTTCTTGCTTTCTCTTACTCACTAGTGACTGTCATTGCGATTCAAATGGCAGCTTTTGCATTTGATTTATTTTTCTTGGACTAACAAACAGCTTAATATAGCTCGTAAAGAAACTGAAAGTGCTTTAAACTTTTTTTTATTAAACTTTAAAAATACTTCAACCCGTTGTTATGACATAATGGCAGCTTTAGTGAAATCTAGAGAACACCAGATTTTCTTAACATTCATATCTTGTCAGAACAATAACAGAACTTGCTACAAATCGGATATGAACTTTAAAAACATTGAGTTTTTCAACTATTACATTGTACTACCTCTGCAGAGACCTCTCCCAAGTAGAACATCTTGTGGCGGCTACACATAACGCTATGCGGGAACTCCAGATCATATCAAGGGATGCGTAGGGTGTTAAACATGGACAGGACTGAATCAAATCTGAGAACACAGAAGTCCCAATTTGGGTCGTCTACTGCGCAAAATCAACCTACACTTCCTAGTTTGCTGCCGCCCACCTATTTGAGAGATTAAGGATCGGCCCTATTATGTCCTTTATGAACTCTGGGAGAGTTCAACAAGCAAGTCGCGCTATTCCTCACTGCTACGGCAGATCCCGCAGATATCTGAGCATAAAATTGTCTAAATGCCACTTTTTAAAAGCAGAGAATGAAATAACAACAGTCCTGTACGAAAATTGTGATTGTTCTTGTACTTCTTGAGCAAGCGTAAATTTATTGAAATGAGTGAAGATTGTGTACGCTTGATCCATTCGGCGACGAAGAGGATTGCAATGATACTAGCTCTATTGTGAAACATAAAAAAATCAAAAAGAGCCCGTTGAAATTCTAAAATGTAGAAGAATAGAAACTGGTGTGTATCTGAAAAGTGATCTGGATGTAATTCCACCACAATGGCGTGTTCAGCATAAATTTACTCCGAGGAATACAACTTAGGTACATTAATGCCTTGCTAACATTTTGTGAAGTGAAACCGCTTTATAAGACATTTAGAATACATTTTCTATCTCTGCAAAAGCCATCTTCATAAGTGTCGTTTGGAATCCCTTTTTTCGTAATGACACGTAAAGTTTCTCTGATCACTACCTGTGACAAAGGGCACTAGTGCTTACGTAGGCGGTTGCCATGCGACTAGACAAACCTAGGGGAATTCCGCTATTACAAAACAAAGTAGCGGTAGCTCCGGATGGATGACTTGTTGAGAGTTGACCGTCACTGTAGTCCACAGTACCACCAGTTTGCTCAATTGATGGGCACGGAAGTCCTGTAACCACCAGCAAAGAAGCATTATGGGAAGAAAATGTTTCCTAAAGGGCGAAGTAGCTTACCAGACTCACTTCCAGATGAAGGACATGTGCCTAGAGTAGAAGGCACCCATTGGCTACTTGTACATTTAGCTGTGCTTACTCCTAAAAGACTACTAAAAGAATAAAGCATAAGGCTCTCGGATGACTAATCCTTGAGGGGCGCCATGCATTCGAATTCACTAAGCATAGTTTGGAGGTAACTGAATGCATATCTAGCCCCTACAATGATGTGCGATGGCTAACCGATGTGTCAAGCCAGTGCTGCTATCCTCCCACACAAGTTTGGTACCAATTTGGCGACCTCGGAGCGATGGAAGGCTTGGTGGGCCATGGGTGCGGGGATTGGTTCTACGTGTGCGTTGCAGGGCGCTTCCGACCACTGCATCACACGCACAAACTTGACCGAATTAAACCACGACTTGATATAATCTCTTTTAAAGACTATTAGGTGCTAAATCAAATAAGGAAGTAGTCAATAGAATAGAAAAACTGTACTAAATCAAACATGAAAGTAACAATGCAAATAGGACATAGTTCCTCTACAGTTCACAGGTCTTTCTTTCACTAACTCCTTCCAACCGCTTAGGCTATATGTCATATGAAGTGTCCAACGATAGTACACAGACGGTTAAGTGCCGATGAAGGCCGAAAAAAGTACAGTGTTTGTACAGATATGGAATTGGATTCAGTTGGGGGAATTACCGCATGTCCTTACTGCGTGAATTGATTTCTACTTTTCATTGAAATCCATTTATCCATGCATGTTCCTTATGTACACTCATTGTATCTTATACGTCAAATTATCTAAAAGGCCAATTATCAAACAACTAGAAACTGGACCGGAGCCGGGCAGAAGTTTTTGCGTAACTTCATGTGACAGAGACGAAAGGAGACTTTAATCTCACATGGAGTCACTTGGTGGGTTATAGAATCACAGCTGATGAAGGTGGTTTTTACACTGACGATTCAGTAATGCCTTGATAGTATATATAGAATAGAATCTATTTTAAAGAGCTCTCAGAAAAGTGTTTACACAAGAGGTTGGCTAAAGGATGGTTAAGAATGGTCGTCGTTTTTCTATATCACAGACTATCGCCTTGTGAAAACTCCTATTGAAGTAGGCACTGGTGTGCAACAGTGGACAATATTGACAGTACCAATTCTTTCCTACTATCGAGCGTACGAACGGTATTTAATCACCAGTAATTTTTTTCCACGTGTGGCGCAGTGGTCGGAGGCACCCTGCAACACACACGTGGAATCGATCGCCCATGGCCTACCAAACCTTCCATCTCTCAGGGGTCTGCAAATTGGTACTACACCTGTCAGGAAGGATAGCAATACTGGCTCGATACAGTGGTAGGTCACCGCGAGTTACTGTGAAGTTCAAATCTGCATTCAATCACCTCCAACGATGCTTAATGAAGTTGAATGCATGGCGCATCCCTCAGGGATTGATCAACGCCGTAAGCTTTATGCTTTTTATCCTTTTAATTGTTTTGTGGCAAGATAGAAAAACTACTATGGAATCAATGCCAATTTGAAACATTCTCGAAACATTGGAATGACGACACTCTATGACATATGACAAGGGCAGTCGATAGGTTGACCAATAAACGCTTAGTAGTAGTGTTCAAAAACATTTCTCAAATGAGACAGTTTCAGTAATATGGTATGATCGCGCCATAAATCGCTTGCAAAAGTGATGACTCCAACGCTGCCTAGGTCCTGTATAAAGGTCACTCTCAATTGTTGAGGCATTCCGTCCAGCTGGCAGTCATCCTTCCCATTTCGTCATGTTACCTTGCTGTCCTTAAAATATCGTTGCATAGAGATGATACTACTACTCTTTTAGCTTCTTTATGGTGACATCGCGCAATAAAGGCTTAATTGGCCAAGTTCGACTTCGGAGCGGCCACAGCCCATAGCCACAAGCCACGCAAGGCATATATTTCTACAATCTCTCTTCTATAATGGCTCCTCTTCTTTAACCGAGCTACCAACAGCAAGTAAAAAACTTACCCTGCTATACACCCTTTTCTCACTTCACATTTCACTTCATACACTGTGTTTAACTCGATTTCATACAATTTCCCACCTATGACTGCCGCTCCATTAAGGCATCTGGCTGTCACGGTGGTGCCTTCAGGAAATGGTCCCAGTAGTGCCAAGTTTGAGTATGACAAGATGGCCCCTAAAGGTGTCGCCACCGCTGGGCAGGTTGACGCTGAAATCAGTAGTATATCTTGCAAAACAATAGAAGCTTTTTCCAACTATTGGAACTTTATTTATGTGTAAAACAAAAACGCACTTCCTCCATTTCCAGGGAAGCCTATACAAGTACCGAGTTGCGATGGCGCCCATTGTCCATTAGTACACACTGCACTCGCCGTCCCTTGAATAAATTGCTTAAAAAGTACTCGTACAACACTGAATAAAAGGCATCTATGTCGTATTTTTTGTGATAAACCATTTTCTAACTATTTTTCCAAGTCCCCATTTACCCTTCAAACCCTATCTTCGTCATCGGTAATCTGCTTAATCATCTAATGACTTGAACTACGTAAGTATGCATAAGGATGTCAATAACACATAAGTAGATATAAAGGAAAGAAACACGTCGAATCTGGAGAAACAAGGTGTTACTGGATGCACCCACAGAGCAAGATTATGAGTAAGGCTGTGCCACCCACTAATTTGAAACTTGCACTATGTCGCCTATCGAGTAACTTGCTCAAAATTACCAATAAAACGGAAATTTGTGACTTTAACTTGGTAGATTGTTCACTTATCTGGTAACAACTGGCGAACACCAAAAACAGAACTGATGCAGCAGAGAGCCGCCTCAAGAATTACTCACTCATTCCAAAGTAGGTATTTAAGCATGTGAATAATTTGTTGAATGGCAACAGGAATGTGGTCGGTTAAAGTGTGAAGGATAAGGCGTTTGGCATTGATTAATCGCTGAAGGATGCTCCATGGATCCGACTTCATCAAGTAACGTTAGAAGTGACTGACTGCATTACTGCCCTCTACAATGACTCGCAGTGGCCTACTGAAGTATCAAATCGGCGGCGCTATCCACCCAGACAGGTCTCTCTACCAATTTTCCGACCCGGTGAGATCCAGGGGTTTGTTTGCCCAGGGCCGAGGAACTGGTGACCCAATGTGCACTGCATGGTACGTGTAACTACTGCGCCACATACGCCCTCCGTAGCGGATTATTTTCTAATCATGCTTATTGTAGATATGAATTTCATTGTTTTGCCTGTGTTGCGAACACTCCTCTAATACAGTGAACTGGCTAGCGTATACAGATCACATCTCATCTACGACAAAGTGTCCAACAAGATTGACTTTTGTTCCGTTTCAGTGTTTTTTCTTTGTTGCAAGAAAACAAAAGAATTTCTGCAAATTTCTAAAATGACTGACAATTCAGAGAACAGAGTGGAAAGAAATTTAGTAAGGAAACACCACTGTACTAAACCGACTTCCTCTGAACCTCGGAGCCAATAATCAGTAGGTTTCTTTGGATTGGATTCTTTGGAGACACCTTGCACTCCAAAAAAGGTGAGAAATCCAAAGAAATTTCGTGAGGGTATAATTCTAGCAGCACACTTCGTTGTCGAGATCGTAGAAAGCACTGTTTAGTTAACAGCTACCAAGCACCGTACAATTTGTTTTAGTGTCGGATGTATAAAATAAATTGCTAGTTGTTCCTAGCATGAGCTGTTCCTGTAATCAACCACAACGATGATGAGGTATTCGCAAAACTTAGACCCGGGCCTGATAGAACCACGATTGGGGCTGGGGCTTTTGCGGGGCTCCATTGCACACTGCGCCATGGAGGTCCTTGTTCTGCATTTCTCTCAGGTAGTTTTTTTTCTGGCCCAGGGTCCAAGTTTTGTGAGTATTCCGGCAAAGTTGTGGTTGATTTCGCTTAATGCCCTACCGTGAAAATTGTAGTAGGCAGTAAATAAAAAAGTAAACATTGTGTTTCTATAACATTATAACTCCACGGCATCTCCAGCGTCAAAAGTTTAGCATGAAGCTGAAAATACGAGGACTCAGTCCAGTTATTTGTTCATCGCCTTTCATATTGCAGTTAGCCCACTAGATGTGAGGAGTTTTGACTTGAAATCGCGAGATCTCAGCTATATGTCGTTAAAATTTGCCTTGTACACCGAGAGGGCATCTGAGAATGGCGATTGTTCCCTGCGTAGCTCGACCAGCCAAGCCGCTGTTTGTCATCGTCACCGCTCCTCCAGAAGGAACGACCAGCTCCGGACACGTAAGCCCTACTAAAGTAATTTATTTAGAAACCTTGCACATCAGCACATCAATTTTTTATTTGAACGAAGCAAGACAATGATTGTTGACGCACTAACATAGCAATATATTAGTTATTGATATATTCATTATCATTGATATATTGATATATTAATGTATTGGCTACTAATATAATAATTATATTAGTTGCAAAGTTTTCAAACAGCTCACTTTTGTGAAATGTCGGTTCTTGAATTCTGTAAATAAGGTTTTAGAGGTATGAAAGTTTTCTTTTTCACGTTTCACACGTACTCCTCAAATAAGGTGGTGAATCCTAGAAGGTTGAACATTTGTAGAAATATCATTAATAACCTCCCAACGGTTTACCACCTCATCGTGGCAAGGAGGTGCTCCTGGGTGTCGGCCCGCGATGTACAGCGGGGGATTCGTCACCTGGCAGGGTCTCCTAAGCTGTAAGTGAGCTAATTACCAGGATCCACCACCGTCTTGGTATCAAAGTCGCATGGTGGCAAATCTCTCTCTGATCCACAGGAGCTGCGACTGCCTGTGGTGGTGAGGACCTAGGTCAGACTTTGGCCAGGCTAACCTCGGGATTCCAGGGAACCACAATAGCCTAGCCAGCAAATCTCTGAAAATGGAGAATATGCTGGGGCCCTCATAACTAGTGAGGACGAGCCGTTCAAGTATCAAGTAAGAAATTATCATTAATAGATCTCACCACTATCCGAGTTACAGGTGCCGAGTGCGGGTGGGAACCACTGACCGTTAAAACACGATGCCGACGTAGCACCTGTAGAGGATTGAGGTTTTTTCAGAAGTTCTCTCTGTGAGTGTTTGATTATTGAATGTTTTCGTTCTTTCTGAGTGAACGTGATCATGGCTGTGCAACGTCCACTGCACAATAGCCGACATCCCGTCGTCATTAGAACTGGTCCATTTTGGTTCGTTGGTGAGGTCGGTCTTGTCTCAACTCATCAAGAACACAAGAAATCCGAGCTGTTATCTGAAATATGTCCTTCAAGTTTTAATGGAGTACCTAGAGGTGAACCAATGATACACGTCATTGTCACGATTGTTCCTGGAGTAAATGGGCCAAGCGAGTTGCCGGTTGAGTAGCTAAGTGAGGCGCCTAATGGTGTTGTCAGAGCATTGCATGACTGACCTAAAGTTGTTAAAACCTTTTTTCAAAGATTTCTAAAACGTTCTGTTTAGATCTTCCTTCATGTAAGTTAATTAGATAAACACAATTCATTGACAACGTTGCTGAGATATTTGCAAAACTCTGGACGGCAGGTGTCTATGGTGGGGAACGAACGCGCTATTGGCCTTTCCGGTGAGTAACGCGTTCACCACCACACCATGCGGGTCCTTTGTTTCGCCTGTCTCTCAGCTATTCAGCCGCAGCTTAAC